CGAGCCGGGATGTGTAATTGAGCAAGACTGCAAAATAGCCGGAGTTGGCCTGAATTTATGGCTAAAACTGAACATGAAATGGGCTGGGCCAGTGTTCATCTCCGAGGCGAGGTAAATGCCATAAAACTGATGGAGAAAAGGAAAGCGCAACGCAGTTTCCAGACCAGAGACAAGAAAATATTTATCTAGGCAAAATATTTCAGAGTTTCATTTGGCTAAAACGAATGGGGAATACTCTTAATAGAGAGAAAGTTGGAGATAATATTAATAGTATATTTCAGACTAAAAAAAAACTGAAATTAAACTTGAAAAATTCTAACTTGATTTTGATTTTTCCTCTTCCTATTAATTGATAGATAGTTTTCCCGTTTGCTTTCCTTTGTTAGAGTATTTTTTCGGATGAACATTTCCTTGGCGCAACCTGTGCGCAGCTGTCAATAGGCGTGAAATACTAAGGCCTCAGAAACAACAATCTAGTTGGCCGTAATAACTTCCTGGTAAAAGTTAAACACATCCCGAATTGGGGGGGCCTGAATGATCATACTTGGGATGTTGTTTACGATTACAGGCCGCGATGAGCAACGCGCCTAAGACAATAGAAAAATTGTTCAAAACAAAGATGCCCCTTAAAAGGGGTTGGAGGGGTTAGAGACTTCCCATTTAGCCGAATATAGAGGAGAGATGAGTGAGTGAGGAGTAGTGAGCGCCACTTGAAGTACAAAGTCGCTTGTCAAAAATACACTTTTCGCTTGTTTGTTTGCTGGATTGTGTGTGTGTTTTTTTTTTTTTGTCTATTTTTGGGTATTTGATGTTATTTTTTTTTTTGGTTGTGAGTAGCTCATAAACATCAAATACAGCTGAACAATGCGAGTTGAGTCAAAGCGTAGCCAAGGTCAGGGGCTCTGTGAACGAACTGAGAAGACAACTCAAGTGGGTTGAGGGTCGCAGTCAATCAATGAACCGCAGCCCGTTACCCAAGATCAAGTACAAAGCAATCTCTTGAGAGTTTAACACCCCTTACCAATAACTATGAAAGAAAACTTAAATAGAAAATCCCCGAAAAAAAAACAACTTGCAGAATTTCACAAGTCGCGCCAACTGCAAATGCCCGCATAGCCAAAAGCACCAGCAGAAGCCAGCTTTGATCAAGAGTCACACCTGCGCCTATCAGCTGCAGGATCTGACAGGATATAATCGCGCCCTAATGCCTCCATTGGATGACACGGACTTTGGTAGTGCCTGGCGGCAGGTGAACAACAACACCACCAGTCAGTCCTGTGCCTATCATCAAAAGCAGCAGCAGCAGCAGCAGGATTCTAAGGATTCCAAGAGGCAATACCATCATAACACTTGTCCAAGACAAAGGAAAAAGTCCTTTACCCCTGCCGAACCAACTCTAGTGTGCCAAAAGCATAAGGAATCTCAGCAGCAGCGTTCACGATCCGCATCTGCCAAGCCGCGTAGGAATAGCTCATATCATTCATATGATGATCTGGATGTTTCATCAGCGGTTCTCAATGCGGAAAGAAAGGTGGTGGCCAGTTTGAAGTACCTTTGTGCCTGCACGGGAGCCACTTTAAGGAATCTCTCAAAGAAAACCAAGGACCTGCACGCCAAAAACTATACCTACACAAAGGTAAATTTAAGGATTCTGAAAATATGTATTATTTTGGGAATTTTTAAGCATTTTTTTTAGACTTTAAGATTTATTTTTGAGACACTGTCAAAACCAAAAAAACATCACCTTTTTATTTTATAATTACAAAAGCCGAGTAAGCATCTGGTTTACTAAATCGAAAAAAAAAATGACTAGCAAAATGTGCCTTTAAATATTATTCATTTCCCACTCCCAACACTGCCACTTTTGCTGCTCTCTCGCTTTGTGAGAAAACTGAGTTGAGTTACAGATACCTGAGTCACATCCGGCTTAATTATGTTTACCCAATTGATTGCCTAATTGACACTAATTAATTGCTCGAATTGCATGCAAGAATTTAAGGCGCTGAGGTATGGCAATAGACTACTAATTGAAGCCAAATTGCTGTGGCATTTGGTCATTTGCCGATGACCAGCCCCCACTTCATGCAATGAGAAAATTGTCGCAAATTAAGATATTTTTCTTGAACATAATAAATAGCTAACAATTAATATTATTTAAACTTAAGTGGAATACAAGTTTAGGTACGAACGAGGCAAGTCAATCGTTTGATAGCCAAACATATCACTTAATTGTCTGTGAACTTGAACTTAGTGATAATAATAGACTATTGAGATTCGCAGGCGGAAGTGAGTGAATGAAATTGGCGCTCTAACAATGTTTAGTTGGGGTTTTTAAATTAAATTTAAATATAGAAAAAGTCTTTAAATAAGAATTTTCCTTTTCGGAAAATATTATTAAAAATTACTTTAAAAATCTAACTTGCAGCCAATAAATCAATGTCCATTAAAACTTGATTTACCACCCAAATACATGCCTTTAAATCATTTTTAAGTAGCCGTACTAGTATTTCCTTAAGTTTTTTTTTTTTTGACGCAAATGGGAAATTGAACTGAGCTGCCATAATGCGTCATTAATTAAACAGCGAAAACGGAATGATCCCGGCAAATGAACAAAACAGAGCGTATAAGGCATCCAAAATAAAACAAAAACAACAACCAAAAATGCCAAATAAATAACAAATAAATTAAATAAATACGTATAGGCCATCTATATGTACATAGGTTTACCTCCTATATTCCACAATGCGAATCAAGAACAGCGGCGAAAAGTTTTTGGCAGATGCCGCTAAGGAAATTTCGCCGGCGGCGTCGATGATCGTGAATCGGAATTGATTAAATGTTGCCTTCACATTGTATATATAATATATGTATATATATGGTATATATATGCTTAATGAATTGGGGAAGGGGAAGTGTGTGTAAATCAGCCAGCCGAAAAATAAAACAGAGAGGCAGCAATTAAGCTTGAGGATGCCGCAATTAGAGAAAAACAATTGCAATTTTGTTTCATACATTTTTTTTGGGATATTTTACAAGCATAACATTAACAGCTGTTATTGAATTCTGTTAAGTAGTGGAACTAAATAATTATCTAGTAAAATGCAGATTACCCCATTTGGTGTGCCCTTACATTGCCACATCGTGTCTTCTATTTTTGCAAGGCCATTTGGAAATATTTCAGCTGTTTCCAGATTCATCTTAAAAACAAAAACCAACAACACATTTTTATGCACAATTACCCCGAAAAAATAACAACAAATTGCCCTCTCTCTTGGCTGCCACTTAACGCTTTGAGAAAAAAAAAAACAAAATAAAGTGTGTGCTCGTTTTGTAGTTCCATGTTTTTACGAAATATTAAAGTACTTTAATAAAAACAATTTACGAAATGCTGGCGAAGTGAACTAAACATTCGAGCAATTTGGTACGCCTTTGTTTGTTGTAATCAAAGCGCATGCGGGCAATTAATTGGATCAACATGAGATTCGTGTCTGTCTGTCTAGGATGGATGACCCCATGTACGTGTGTGAACAAACACGCCCCCCCCCTTTTCCGCCTATTGCCATCGAATCATGTTTATGTTTTTGCATTCCTTTTCGGATTCTCATTTGGGGTCAGTCAGCTGGATGTTGTTATTACTGTTATGGCCCTGCAGAGAGGAAAAAATTAGGACTTTTTAGGGTAGTATTTGGGAATTTTTTTGGGATTTATGTTGGATGTGTAGATAAGAATGTTAAAGTAAAGTAGATTAAAAATACTCATAAAAATATGATGATAGGCTTTGTTTGCCATGCCATAAAACCATATGAAATATATATGCCTTAACCGATCTTTAATCCCCTTAACTTTTAAGTACTTTCAATATAATTTTCTCTCTCTGCAGGGTAAATCTTTTAATAGCTACTTCTGTTAATCCACGGTATTGTTGTAACTTTTGTTGCTGTTTATTATTGGGAGGCGCCACACTTACAACCGAACTTTGCGTGCCTTTCCCTTGCTGCTTTCTGCTTGTTGTTTGTTGCTTGTTGCTTGTTGCTACTCATTTATTCATTCACTTCTCGTTTAATGCTTTTTCACGCTTTTGGCATTGCTGCGAGTAAATTTCAATTGAAATACTTATGCGGCCCCTTCTCTCTGTGTGTGTGTGTGTGCGGTATTTACATAGTTTTTACATAAACACAAAAGGTATTTTGTAAAGCTTGGGCTTTTTGTGAGTTGCATGATTTTCTAATTAGAATTTTAATGCTTCGACGTTGATTAAGCGAAAATATGTTAGGCATTTTCCGGGAGGCCTTGGGAAATGGTATAAATACATAAATAAATGCGTGTGAAGCTGAACTTTTTGTAAGGAAAATATTGTCTTTAAACTTTAATAGCAATTTTTTAATGAAAAATTTGAAATTGCGTAATTTTTTATTTCTCTTCTCATATATAAACTTTTCATTACCAATTAGGCCAAACATACACATCTCTTTTGAAACACATTTAGTTCGGTTCTATCCAACAAATTAGCAAAGAATTTATGTATCAATTAAAATACCAAAGCCTAGACAAGAACAAATGTTGTTTGGGCCTTAACATTGCCAAAGATGCCACACGAAACGGAAATGGAAATGCCAGACAATTGAGTTTCCACCAAAAACAAACAAATTTCTCAGATTCAAAACAATTTGCGAAAATCGAAAGACATATTGTTTATATTGGGAATATTTAAAAATTGTTGAACTCGTATTAAGGGGAAATAAATTAAAAATACGTCGGAAACTAAAGCTAAATTTAGACTTATGATACATTCGATTGCCCATAAATTAGCCTTGATCTTTGACTTTGACATAGATTTTAAATATTAATTTTTGCAAATATTTCCAATCTATTTATAGTATAAAGTATATTTAACAAATTTTCCCCACAAAGTTGAGAAAAAAACCAACCTCTTAAAGGAAAATAAAAAACCAATCACCTTCAGCTAGACTAATCCACTTTCTTTTTCCATTATTTTACAGCCCACGTGGCGCCTTTGGGGCGAAGAGCACGAGAAGAATGCAATTTTCACCGTTTACCTGAAGAAGGTGCGATACCACCGACCCACGCCCACGGCCAGTAATGTGAGTAAAACCAAATAGCAATTACTTAGTCGGATTGACTAGTTTTGTACAGCCACTTAAAGTTAGAAAAACAAACTTTCTTCTTAAAGGTCAACGAAACTTTCATTTGACATTCTTAAAATCGAATTACAATTAGTAATTCTTAATTTTAAATATGACTAAAAATTTCTGAGAATTCATTTGTTAAATAAAAAATGAGTTTAAATGATTAATTTTGTAATTTCCCTCTTAACAGGACTCTGACGATGAGATTTCCCATCTGGAGTGGGAGACAGTGCGAGTGCGCTTCGTAAAGGCGGCCACATTGGCTCGATTGGTGGAGGCCTTGGCCACTGACGATGGAGAGCTGGAGTCCACTTTTATCAACGTCTTCCTGTCTACATATCGCACCTTTTCCACGCCCAAGCAGGTGCTTAGTCTGCTGACGCAACGCTACGATGCTCTGCATGAGAAGCATCTGGAGGAGGTGGATCAGGCGCAGGAGAATGGCCAGATTATGGATCCCGCCTATGATCCACATGCCTCCATTCATGAGCAGCACAAGAAAACCCTAGTCTCAGCGCTGCATGTTTGGCTAGATGGATTCCCAGAGGACTGGCATGAGGATAACCTGCAGCAGGTAGGGATTAAGTTAACTTTCTATTAAGATAAGATTTTAATGATTATAAATCTTTATCAACAGATCTTGGCCTTTGCCACCAAGCGACTGAAAAGATCCGATCTGCATATCAAGGTACTAAATCGTCTGGAGCGGCTCATCCGACAGTCTGTCTATGGTAATGGCGGAGGAGGTGGTGGCGGCGGCGGCGGTGGTGTCTCAGAGAGCAATGGTCTATCATGGCTTTCGGCAGCGGGCTCCCAGCAAATGCAACAGTTCATGATTCCCACGCACTATGGCTCATCGTATGACCTGACGGATCAGTTCAATGGCTTGTATCTGGCACCAATGGGTCATGGGCCCATCTATCGTGGACCCACCCATTTCCTGCAGGCCTTCCGTTTCCCTCACGTACCCGTTAGACATTTTGCCGAGCAGCTTACCCGTATGGATACAGAACTGTTTAAGCGACTGATTCCCCACCAATGTCTGGGTCATACGTGGGCACGTAGGGATAGTGGAGGATCAGAGACTGTGGTGGCCACCATCAATCAGTTCAATGCGGTGCTCTTTCGGGTGGTGTCTAGCATACTGATTGATCGCCTGAAACCTCAGGTTGGTAGTTTAAGTTAAAAATTTTTCTTAGACTTAATCTTATTAATTATGAATTTTCATCTACTAGGAGCGCGCTCTTAACATTTCCCGATGGATTGACATTGCCCAGGAGCTGCGCATGCTCAAGAACTTCAGTTCACTCAAGGCCATCATTTCGGCCCTTAATTCGAATTCCATATACCGCCTCTCCAAGATCTGGGAAGTACTGCCTAAAGAAAGGGTAAGTTTTGGCATCCTCATCGTCCTTCAAATCCTAATTAAGATTTCTTTCCTGCCAGATGGAAGTCTTTACGGAGCTGGCGAATATTTGCTCGGAGGATAACAATGCTTGGACACTGCGGGAAGTGCTGAAACGTGAAGGCACAGCTAAGAATCCGGATCCGGGTAGCGATCAGAGCGATAGGCATCTACAGAAGTTAATTCTGAATTTGGGAACGCAAACATCTCACGGAACGATACCCTATCTGGGTACTTTCCTCACCGACCTGACCATGATTCATACGGCCAATCCGGATTATCTTACCGAAAATAATCTGATAAACTTCGACAAAAAGAGGAAGGAGTTCGAGGTGCTGGCACAGATAAAGTTGCTCCAGGGAGCAGCCAATACATATAATCTTCAGGCGGATGCACTTTTCGATCATTGGTTTAACTCGATGCCGGTGTTTGATGAGCGAGAGGCCTTTGAGTTGAGTTGCCGACTAGAACCACCACCGCCAGCGCCCCGCAAATCGGTGGCCAGTACAAATACATCTTTAACAAATACGACCGCCTCATCGACGGCTTCTATTATGGGCCATCGGAAGACTGACTCCATACACTCCAATTCGAGCAGCGGAGCAGGATCGCAGTTCTATTGCGAACTAAATAGCAGCACCAGTTCCAGGCATAACTCCTTGGATCGGGATGCCCATCATCAGCATGCCTCTCTAATGTCCGCCTCGAGTAGCGTGTCCAATTTGTCATTGGATTCCAGTAACTCTGGCGGTCGGCAGTCTGGAAAACTGACACATTCCCAGTCCATGGGAAATGGTCTGAAATCTCATGGAAATGGTACTACCAATGGAGGGTCACCACATATCAATGCCCAGCTAGTGCAGCCAACGAGTGGAACTCCTCAGTCTGCTCCAGATTTCTATATCATCAGGGTGACCTATGAAACGGACAACATTGAGTTAGATGGGATTGTGCTGTACAAGAGCATTATGCTGGGAAATAATGAGAGAACACCCCAGGTGATTCGAAATGCTATGCTTAAGCTGGGTCTGGAAGATGATCCGGATAGGTTCACCTTGGCGCAGGTTTTACCTGACAAAGAACTGGTAATGCCGAAGAATGCAAATGTCTACTATGCGGTGAATACGAATTACAATCTCAACTTTATACTGAGACCGCGAAAGGAAGAGGGCGTGGCTGGTAGCTAGTCCACAGCTGTGCCCCTGTCCCAGCTATGGTGTCTGGGATACGAGGGCGAGGAGTGAGGATTATAAGGATTGGATTTTGGTTAGGAAAACTGTAAATAGCTAGAGCTTGACTCGCCCATGACAAAACTGGATAAACCAATTTCTATTTAAGTTTCGTAATACGTTTAAGTTATTTATTGAGAAGCGAAAAGATAGATAGATTTCGATAACCGATTATTTCGATTAGTTTCTTTTGATGCATACCTGTCTGTCAATTAGAACTTAGTAAACTTTTGTAATCTCTAATTTTTCCCAGACTTCGAGTTCGTTAAGTCTATTGTAAAACCGAATCCAAAACATATATATATTATATAGAGACTTTACTGGAATAATTGCTGATATTTACATATATATATATATATATCTATATATATATTACGTATATATAGTTATATACAAGAAATGATATTCTAAATGTGGTACAATAATTTGGGATCTTGAAACGGATATTGCGTTGGTTTATCGATACCACTTTGAGGTCTTTCAAAAGCAAACAACTAAGCATATTTGTATAGATGTTTTTACCCACTGTACGTGTATTATAAATACAAATTTAATGCTAAGTAATAAGATTTGTAACTATTACCGAGTGGAGTGCACAAAACTTAACTTTAGCTGGTTAAGATATTGTATTTCAGATTTTGTAAGTTATCTACATTGAAAATTAACGAGAGAAAGAAACAATTATATAGATAAGTTAGATTCTACTTCGATTTATACATATTAAATATGACTATTATTTAAAATGCAAACTGAAGTTAAGCTAAGATTGAGAAAGAGAAGAGGAAAACAGAGTAATATTGTAAATATAAAAGTGAAAATGAATAATTTGTGTTCTTCTGCAAAATAAATTGTACCAAAAGAAAGCATATATCGTAGACTTCTAAATTTTTTATGAATTTTCGTTGAAGGTAAGGAAGTTACTGTGTTTAAAAAAAGTTAGTAAACCTTTTCATAATCCCTCTATAAATTTCTAAGGATTTTATGATCCGATTTGTGATATCCCAAAAATCATGCCAGCCACAGTCAGGAAATTTGTCATTCCCTTAAAGGTATTAGTAATCCAAGCAAAACTGATTTTCAACTTTGATTAGCCTGACTGGGGGGTGGGCTATGGCAAAAACTTAACCCCCAAACAAGTCGACAGCAAAAGTTTAACCCATTTCGTTGTGAAGGAAGCAAAGAAGAAGGGAAAGTGGAAAAATCTGATTATCAAGCAGCCGATGCCAAGAGAACTTGGCCAAGGCTTCAAACCAAATCAGCATCCGCAAGGCTAAAAGGAAGGGGTTAGAAGAAAGGACCAAGTTAGCGGGTCAAAACATCTCATTACATTTGCAGGCTAACACACACACACCCACACCCGCATAGCCACACAAACACAAAGACAAGTTGAAGGCAGTAAAACTGAAATAAATTACTTTTTTTTTTGTTTTTTTTTTTTTGGCTTTTTAACAACTTTTGGTCGGAAACGAAAACAAGTTTCATCTCCAACCTGGCCTGACCCGCCTCTAACTTTCGCTGAACACAAATTTCGTTATCCTTACCCCTTTTTTTCGGCGCGAATTATTTTTCGGCTCGCAGAAAACTTTAATTAGATCACTTCAATGACAAAAATATAAATCTCCTGCCGCAATAATAAAAACCCAACGAGCCAAGCAACTGGAAATGCATAAGGGCCAGGGGGAGTGGCGGGGCAAGCCACTTGAAAAGCTCTCGAAAAAAAAAACAAACTTTCTCAAACTAGTCGGTGAAAATCCGCATCAAGCATCAAATGGAAATGGAAATAAGTTGACTTGACTTGACGTGGAGGCTGCTAAAAAGGGCTTGGAAAATGGGTTGGGTGGCGTTCATCAAAGTGGAGTGCGCTGGCAAAAGGGGGCGTGGCGGCGCGGGGGACTAGGCTATAGTGAAAGCTCCGGGGTTAACAATGACGTCATAGTTGTGCAAGTCATGAGCACGCGAAGAAAATTTTAACCAAATCATTGTCATCTTATTAGCTCGATATTAAAATAATATTAAAAAATTATAATAAAGTTTTAATAATTTAAAGAATATACTAAGAAAGGGAGCCTATTTATATTAATATTAATATTTTTATATTATATATATAAAAAATCCCTAAGGTCAGGGATTTAATTCCCCAACCCAGTTCTTAGCAAATATTTATATCTAGAAAATCATCTTTCTTATCATTTTTCTCTCTGCAAAACGGAAGCAAAACCATTGTGGTTGGGGTGGATAGTGAAGGTAGTTAAAGCAATTTCTAGCGTACAAACGCGTTTCGTCATAACTGAAAAGGAATAATCGATAACCTCAAGCAGACACAATGACGCAGTTAGAATGACATAATTCAACACACATACCCAATGGGAGAATTGATAAGACAGGGTCACAACTGCAGGTCAAAACAAGAAATTCAATTAGAAAGTCCTAGAAGAAAGAGAGAGGGGATTAAGGGTGGTAGTGTGGTGGCAAAGTGGCAGTATCATGACGACAGTCTAGTTTGGCCTTCTTCATTCCTCCAAACCACACAGACACACACACACACACAGAAGACCATCACCCCACCACCCATTGCTGGTTACACCCTCTTCCTTAACGATTCCCTCGACCATACCATACCCATACCATATAGCACGTGTACATTTCCATCGACACCAGGTGAAACCTTCAAACAAAAAACAGACAAAAACAAAAAACAAAAACCAAAGACTCATGCCAAGTGACTTAAATACCCTTGCGGGGTAATATATCAAAAGTGTTTGGCTTTGTTGCTAGTAAAGTTATATCTTAATATAGGCTGCTATGTATTAACTAACTTGTTAGTAAAGAATAGTTAACAAAGCCTTTTAAGTAATAAAATATTCTTAAAAATCGATCTAAGATTTTTAAGAACAATTTGTAAGTTTTCCAGTAAACACTGCTTAGGTTAAAATGGATGGAAAAGAGAAAAAAGAAAGCTGAATCTTGGCATAGCAAAGACTTTACCATTAAAATTCACATAATAAAATCGTTAAACCTACATATTTACTTTTAAAAACCTTAAAACCCTTAGGAAAATCCCAAAAATAACATTAGATAACACAAGCTGATACCAAAAGTGAAGGAATTTGAATATCCCCTGCAAGCATTTGGCACTATCAAGCCAAAAGGAATCAAACCGTTATTTTCAGTTGCCTGCTTTTGAGCGCTTTTTCTCTGGCAGGCGAGAATGCAACAACGTGTCGGGCCCTCACTCACACTAGCACCTCTCCTCTTTCACTCTTCTCCCCATACACTTACACACACACACATATAGACAGCCTCCCTAGAGAGAGTAAAGGACCTCTGCTACCTGCCAAACTGGTCGTTTTTCTGCCTCTTCTTCAGCATGGAGGAGCTCCTGTCACACATTTTTTGACGTTTCCTAGCCAGCTGTGTTGAATTCCTGCGTGGGAGAGTTAGCCAAAAAACAAGAGAGAGAGAGAGAGAGAGAGTACTCCGACCAGGAGAGAGCTTTCCTGCAAGCTCTGACATTACCTGGTTCTTTTGGGGTCTCAGCGGATGGGCCTCAGTTCGCTTTTCGGACTATTGAGTGAGTTGATTGTCTCTCTCTCTCTCTCACTCGCTTTGGGGAAATTCGAGAGGGCGAGGAATATGAAAGACAAATTTTGGGAGTTGGGGTAACTGGGTAGGCTTTTGATGGGCGCGGGTTTGTTGGATGGTTTTTATGGCTACACCAAGACACTTAATTGGGCAAAAGCTTCAATAAAATGTTGCATTAAGCCATTGAAGATGCGAGAGCGTAAGCCTAGTAATTGTAATTTGAAATATTTTATTTCAATTCTTTTTCGTTATGCATAAAATATTTAAATTTGAAAAGCTATTTATTAGAGAAAAGCCAATGAAAGACCGCACAGATTAATATAATAAGATAGAGATAGGATGTAGGATTTTTAACATTAATATGACATAACTTCTCTGTTTTCTAAACTAGATAATAATTATAACATATAATATTAATAATAATTTTTTAAAGAATTTAAACATTTGATTTATTTTAACATTAATACTTAAAAAAGTTAACGCTAAAAAATCTGATAAACACTTTACTCAGAATAATGTGCTTACGAATTTTGTTTTAAAATGTTTACGTAATAATTTTGACAAGAAATTTAATCTTTACGTCAAAGATTTTTCGTAGTGCACAATTACGTCTACATTTTAGGTGCATGTGGACCTGGTGCCCATAACAAACGTAACAAACGTAACGAAAACAATTACACGAAAGAAATCCTCAAAAAGCACACGGGAAACGAGACTGAGAATACACACCCCTCTCCTCTCTCGAATTCCCATTATCCTGGCTTCCGCCACCCCCCTCATCATGCCCCATCTGCTCAGGGACTGCTCAGTGAACATTAAAATAACAAAATCCAAACAACGCAAACTTTGAGTGCAAGACCAACAAGAGAACCCTAGGACCCAGGGCCAGAGCGAGATACACATAGAAAAAAGGTAGTGAATTTATATTGCAAAATTATAAAAAATATCAAATAATATTATTTGAATTAAATTAAAATAACTTATTTAAGTAAATAAACTGCAAAGTCTGGCAGGCTGACTACATGGTCACCTTAAATATCGATATAATTCCGATAACCGATGAACCCAGATTAAGCTAAGATAATGATTGATTGCTAAGCACGATTTTGATTAGATTTAGTCTTTATTAAGAAGTGCCATAAAAGAGGCGCGTTAAGTATATCTGCAAATAGACTTTTACAAAAGTTTTTAAACTTCTTTCTTATTAATAAGCTTAAAATTCTACATCATTTTTTTAACTGTAAAAACAGAATAAAAGAGACAGAGTGAGAGAGAGAGAGCGCAGCTCGCCAGGACGTCGCCAGTCAGTCTCGGCGGGGATTCGGCTCTCGTTGCCCAGCTCTCTTTCGCTGCACAGAAGCCTACAAAATCGGGGAAAGCTTTTTGGGCCGAGGCCTCTGCGAAAGCGAAGCCTCCAAAGTAGTCGGAGAAGTGGAGCCAAACGGTCAAGACGCGGAGCTCCGCTGAAAAAATTAAAACAAAAATCCAGAAGGAGAGAGCGAAGGGGAAGAAACTACAAAATCGCAGCCCAAATCGCGTTTCGTGGAAAAGAAGAAAACAAAAAAAAAAAAAAAAAACGTTTGGCTACAATAAAAATAATTGCAGAAGGCTTTAGCCCAAATAATCTGAGAGAAAAACAAGTGTTTCGAAATGCAAGTTAAACAAATACGCCAATTATGGGCTGTCTAAGGCGAAAGAAGGAAAGAGACAGGGCCACTCTGGCTCTTCCATGTTGTTGTGTGTAACGTGTGTGTGTGTGTGAAACGATTTTCCTCCTCCAACAATCTTTTCATTTCTTTTTTTTTGGCAATATGCATGGGGCATGTAGATACAGTCAAGAACAGGCCAAAATAGAGCCACAAAGAAGGGTTCATCCTTAAATTGGTTACAGAAAAAAAAAGAAATAATCAAAGCAAGAAAAGAGTAACAAAAAAAGGAACTGTAACAGATGAGGGTTACTTTTTGAGGCAAAACCACCAAGGAAATAATAACCTTGAAGGCTACTGGCCAAGGCTCTCAGCTTTGCTGTTTCGAGGGCTCGCTTACAACATGGCGTATGCTTAATAAAACCAAAATCTATATAAATATTATCAGTTAAATATGAAAACATGTGCAACAAAGTGTGCGTGCGCGTGTGTGGGTGCCAAATAAAATATTAAGCAAATAAATAAGCGATTCGATTCGTTTCGACTCGACTCCACTCTACGCGATTCCCGATGACGCATTCGAGAAGAGTAGGGCAGAAGGTTAAATTACACAAAACGTCAAATTCGCCACGTACGACAGCCGTTTCGGATTCACCAGTCCGAAAAACGTTCTCGCTTTCGGAGTCGGTCCTACTCGGTCGGGATACGGAGTATCCAGATTATAGGCGTGCAGAGAGCAAAAACTATAGAGCACATAACACATTCCCAAACTTTCCAACTAACTTTCCTCCCACTATAACAACTTCAAAAAGGGATTAAAATTCCTAAAAGAAAAAATATTTAATATATATATAAAAGCCTTAAAGAAAGTTTCTCTGTGTGTCACTGGAGAATATCAAGCAAAATATTTTAAAAATTTACTCAACCAGAAAATGTGCCTAGCTCTCTTCTGAGCGAGGGAGAAAGCTTGGAGCAAAAGAGAACAGCACCCTCAACCCGAATTCACCACGATAAAATACAACAAAGAAACAGCAGCAACAACAACAACAACAACAACAAAAGAAAGAAAAGAAAAGAAAAAAAGAAATAAAATACTTTCACTCTCGCCACAACGTGGCGGCATCGAGAGGCAGGAAGCGCATAGAGTGACAGACAGAGGCAGACAGAGACAGGAGAGGACGGCGCTGGGAAAACTCAAAGGGAAAAACTTTTTGCATGCCACAAGCAGCAGGAGCGTCACAATCAGCATCAGCTGACTGCTGCAGGAAGCCTGGCAGCGGGACAACTGTGTTGCGGACAGGACGAGCGTCCGGTCGTGTCACCATCCATTCAATAGAGGCCTCTAGCCACCAGTTTCCTTCAAACACTGGCCATTGGCTCCTCTTGTCGCCACACTCACCAACACTCACAAACACCGCGCCCAAGCAAAACGCAGCAGTTTTAATGTATCCTTAGAATTCCAAACAGGTGAGCATAAAATACAACTACAAGCCAAAAAATGTGAGCACAGATAAGGCTGCAAATGAATTGTAGTGAAAGGACTTGATATTCGTATAATAAATCATTGTGTTTATAGTTTTGAATGGGCGATAAGTTTGAATGCCTTGGCCCACAAAAGTGTGCTACATTAAAAGTTGGAAGCTTGTCACAAGGATAAAATGGGAATACAGTAGTTGCTTTGTTTCTGCATTTATTTTTACGATCTGTCTTATCAGGATTAGTTGTAAACCAGAAGGTTCTGAACATGCTATTTTTTGTGTTTAAATTTGTATTTAGGAGAGTATGGGCTTGAAAAGGGTTTAAAAATCCTTTTTTTTTAGTAGTTTAAACAAGAAATAAGATTGGGTGCTTGTGAAAACCATTAATATATTCCAACTATAAGGTGTTTAGCCTTTTATTAGATTTAATTTAAAGGAACAGAACGATGTTTTCCCAACAAAAAATGTTTATTTTCTGATTTAACTTACTTACTTACTTACTTTCCCGTTTTCCCTAACTTATTCCATAAATGGCATTCATTCTTCTCTCAATTTATCTTTCTATATATAACTTCCACCTTTAATTAAAAGAGAAATTCCAATGTTATTTTCTCCATCGACTAACAAATCCTAGTCATGAAAAAAAAGTAGAAAACCGTTCATGCCTTCAAGGACGCCCTTTCCGTTTCTATCTCAAGCCGTGTTCGGCACTCGCACCCTTCAAACGCTCTTCAATTACAGCAGTTTTATTCTTTTTCTGCACTCCGAACGCTGCAATTTGCCTTTAATTGCAACCGCCCCCAGTGCAGTCTTAATTTGCATAAATTTATCCGCGTGCCGTCCCCTTCGTTACACTCATAATAACCACAACTCAGTTTCAATTAAAAGCTCAGCCATCAATTATGCAGAGTAAAAACGATGGCAAACGAACCAAAAAATTACAAAAAAAAAAAAAAAAATAAAAATCGGATAACAACAAAAGTGTGGCATACTTTTCGGCTGCCCAACGAGAGGTGGCTGAATAATAATAATTATAATTCATGCATAATTGTGGGAAATTTAGCCATTGAAATCAATCATGCAAACTGCACAATAAATGTGCCACAAGCACAGAAATGCGAAAAATCAAATTTTCATTTACAATTAGTATGCTGAGCTCCTTTCAAAATCAAACATCAGCAGCCAATGTAAACATTACTCATACGCCTAGCAAACCCAATGTCCCAATCAGGCTGTGCGCTTCCGTTTTTCGGCAATTAATTAGTCGAAAATTTTAATTAAATGCCATCATCAGTTGATGGAAAATGTTCTCCCTATGACGGCAGTTGGCACTTTGGTTCACGGCCAAGTTATTCTGTTCTTACCAACACCCGAGCTGTGACACAAACTCATTAAATAGTTATTACTCAGCCTGAGACCATGTCGCCGGCAAAGTGTCAACCACGAATGTGTTTTTTAGGTTATTAATATCTTACTCGAATTTTTTTGTTGACACTCTGTCGTTAATAATGGCTATAGTGGGAAAGATAAGTGGAAGTAGATTTTTGGGTCAAGTTGGGTGAGGCTTATGGGTCTACATTGATATTTAAAAGCATTATGAAAACTAATTGTTTTATAAATTTGGTCTTAAAATCAATTAATCTTGATAGTTATATACAACTTTACATTATTCATTACAATAAAGATGGAAATACTAAGAAAAGGGAAACCAAGGTAGGCTTAAAAGTTGTATGACAGCAGCGAAGACTTCCCCGATTAAGTTAGATTTTTTGACAAACATTAGACATATTGTAAATCTAGAATGCTTTTTATGCTGATATATCTGCTATCGATTTGAAGTTACGTGACCCGCTTCCCATGCCCAAACTTTAATTACAGCCATCATAAACTGAACCCCAAAAACAAACCCAACCCTACCCAACGGAAAAAAAAGGGAAGGTGAAAGAAAGAAATTCCAATAATTGTTTTATGGTATATCAGAAGGTGTGGGTGACACCCCCCGACATTCCCAGAACGCACCTGACCTCGCACCATTCACAATTCTTTGGCTGGCAATCATTAAGTGGCCCAAAAAACTAAACCAAAATCAAGTAGGGTGAAAGCCGAGCCTTTTTTGCGTTCAGTTTTTGGTGGCATAACAATCAATCTTGGAGCCTACAGGGGAGGGTGGTTGATGGGAGACACAGGTGTCCAGTCAGAAGGAAATATCGTTAAATGGGAGGCGGAGCAGGCATATCAAATAATCCTTTTTTTGTTCAAGCTCTCGTATACGAGAAGATATATATATATATATATATATGTATTTAGCAAACTCAAACTTGAGCACTTCAAGAGCTCATTAAGTGGGCTAACCTTGATGGAGGACTGCCATGGTTGTGGTTGGGGTGCCATTGGGGTTGTCTTAGAAATGTTGCAAGTTTTCCTCTTAATTCACTTAAGACTTTCGGTTTGAGTTTGCCAGGACTCGCACGAAGACACTAACACACACACACACACACACGTACAACCATAATAAATGGCATATCCTTTTGTGGCAGGAGCAAAAGGTGGCAATTGAATGTCGGACTCCGCCTCATTCTGTGACCGTGTGCGAGTCCTTTAAGTATCTTGTATTAAGAAAGTTCTTTTCCACCTCTAGCCATTGAATTGAGTCCGAAAAGGAGGTCTTGATAAAGTAAGGACCATTCAGCAGTTTTCCATAGGCAAATAGAAAAATATTCATAAAACTGGAATTGCGATTTGTCCTTGCAACTTTTCTTCCTCTTCTTTACTTTCTCTCTTTTTTTTTTGCAATTTCTGCCGTAGAAGCTAAAAAGGATGTAGGATAATAGATTTGCGTCTGTGCGAGCGCCTCGTTTAACCTTTTTTTTTATCCTCCTTCTTTCTAGACCAAAGAAAATTGCTTTAAATGGGTTGAGCAGGCTTGCCTTGCCGTTGGCTTTGGGCCATGTTTCTGTTTAAGGCTTCAGCGAGTCTATCGGTGACACTAATTGCTGGCTTATTATCCTTATTTGCGGTGGAGCTGGGCTAGTGGGTAGGGGATTTTCCCACGCAATTCAACGATTATGATGACTCTGATAAAACGCCGTATTATTTATTGCACCAAAAATTCCAAGAGAGAGAACTTCAAACGGCACAAACGTGTGGAATATAAATAATAAATATCTTTCTTTATGACTTTCTATTAAATATGCCTCTTAAGATAAAGACAGCATAAGAAGATTTCAGTTTCTGCTGTTTTATAAATAAATATAATAATATAGTTTGTGTTTATTTATGTGCTGTGTGCCATAAAGCCACTTAAAATAGAGGCAGCTCTTTGGGAAATAGAACGAACTCTTTGTGAGTACAAATAAGTATATATTTTAAGTTTTAATGGCTCCTGTTCTATGGCAAGTTCATTCTATATATTTAAATTTATTAGTTTTTGCTTTTATATAGAAGAGTATTCCATAGCTCATCGTGGTAATGGCTTCTCTACTATCTCTCTTCTTTAGCTGCCTGTGTGTTTGGCCTTTGTGTTTATGTATTTATTATTGATTTTGGCTCGTTGGCCCATTTGGTCTGAATGTTTTATTTTTGGATTTTATTTTCATGACAATGGGTGGTTTATTAACTTTCAGTTAGCTGACACAATAATTAAGGGGGCTTACGAGCTGCAGCCGTTTGCCATGCCAAATTATGTGAAATTTTCCAAAGAGAAGATTTATGTGAAAATTAATGAAGGCTTTCAGCACTTTAAGGCAAAGACAAACCGAATGACAGGCGGCCAATGGCTGAAATTGTCAATAAAATTGATTCATAATTGAGATATATATGATATGGTAATATTACTCTGGGTTTGCTATGCTTCTACTGTTATTTATGTCTTTTTATTCCCTTCATAAATTTCAATTTTCAAATGCACCATTTTTGTAGTCCCCCATCCAGTAACATCGTAAACATGCCCTGCGACATAAAGGAAAACAACTAGAATTCCTGCCCGGCATATACTCGTAATATGTTAGTTTGGTTTAGTTTTTCTTTTTTTGTATGTTTTTGTAAGTTGCGTGAGTTCTTCATTCAACTTGAGACTTTGTCGACTCGAGAGCTTCTTCTTGGTTACCCCAGCCATACCGCCATTGAGAGAGTGTGTGTGTGTGTTTATAGAGCTGGCTCCTTTTTTGTTTTTTGCCTAGACCAAACTTTTCGTGACTGGACAAAATGCTGCTCTGCTCGACGTCGGCGTTTTGTAGGAAATACCAGGCTGTCCTGGCTGTCCTGTCTCTCGTTGGCACACACACTCTCCGGATCCTGGCTTCCCCAGTTAGTTTCATTTGCCTTTTACATTTCCACACATTTCCTACTTTTTTGCCTAATGCACGGAGAGGAAATTGTAACTATTAGGTATTAGTTAGTTAATGTCTGTTTAGTGAGCTTAGATCTTTGTTAAGTGGAAAGCTTAAAGATGGTTTTTTAACATTTTAATATTGGTTTTTTTTTTATTTAACAGTTATTAACCATAGTATAGATCCTTCTCAACCCCAAAAGTTATAAAGAAAAACCTTTTCTTTAGAGAATTTTCTAATTGAAAGTCACCTTTTATGATCTCTTTGAATTGGTACAGACTTTACCCTGAATTCTTGTCCCCTTTTCTTCTCAGTGTAGTTGCGTGTCTGTGCATAGACGACCTACTCAAAAGAGGCAAATATGGGTGGGAAATGAGGCGTAGGTATGGTTGGTTTTCGGGTGGCAGGGACAGCGAGACGACGCTTTGCATATTTATTTTATTTGATTTCTGTTCGCTTTTTCCTACGTTATATATGTATATATATATATATATATATTCAGTTGTAGGTTTGGCGGGGACTTGATATTCCCGCTTATATAACAAACGCGACGTGTGATTAAAAATTCGTAATTTGCCCGTATATTTCGTATACCTGCCCTAGCTCACCTGCTGCCCTTCTTTGTGTGTCATGTTTTTTGTAGCATACCCTAAGGCGTTCC